CATTCAGATTCTTAAGGAAAATATTAACCATGAACAATAAGGAGCTGAAACAGAACTACTTCACTCATTTGTTAAAAAATATTTTTCCATAGAGAAACTCCAATTTTACAGATAACAAAAAGACTCTCTGAAGATCAGCTTTGGAAATAACATAATAATGTAAAAAAAATACCCTGAAATTAGTTTGAAATGTCTTTTCACAAAAATATTAAGTGCCTGGATGAACATTTTTATGCTACGAAGACAAAGATTAGGAGAAATGAATAAAATTGGGTTAACAGAAGAAGTAACCATGCAGGATTTACATAAAAGAGCAAAGTAAACATCTCATGCTACAGTGAGGGTCCATTTAGCGACTACGTTTTCCCAGCATGCTCAGGGAAGCCTTATATAACCCTCAGAAGAGGCCTTTTTCTGCCCTTCTCATGTGTTGGAGGACACTTCGCATGTAAAAATTAAAATCATACACAGGGGAAAACATACAAATTACAAGCAAACCAATCTCTCCTAAAAGATATTTTCAAACACTTAAAACTCCACATGATGTAAAAATTATCCAAGCAAACACGCTGCGGAAAGAAAATAATTAAAAGCAGCAGCATTCTCTAAAATGTAGTAGTTAAATTGGAGAAACATAAAAACTTTTAATATCCTTAGGCATCATGTCCTGTTGCACAGCCACAGTGATTTATCTTTACCATGTAAACTAGGCGTAATGATGATAATATATCAACCATCAGGCTAGAAAAGATCACTGCTTCGCTTTCTCTAATGAGCATTTTGAATTTCAATTGAACATTTTTTTAAAAAAAATTCAAAGGTTAGAAAACAAAGCTTCTTGAATTGGAACCCAAAATGTCACATTTGTTTAGCTCTTAATCAAGTAAAACTCAAAGAAAGTATTACCAAGTTCTTATTCAATATAATGTAAGACATAATTGCATTTAAGATGCAAGTATCTTTCTTAAAGTGAGTAAGCCTTACTTTTGGTTCCAGTTCTAGATGGCATCTGAATATACCGCAATGCTTGTATGTAATCCTGGAAAGGGGGGAGGTGGCCCTTGGGTTCGTGTGCAGGAGATTGTCCGGTGCCCTGGGTCCCCACTTACACTTGTAACACAATATCCTTTCCCCTCCTGGTCACTGGCACCTGCTGGCATCCAAAGCTGATGAATCTCCTGGCCTGCTCCTCCGTAAGCTCAGCGCCCAGTGACCCCTTCCTTCCTGACTCACACCACCATGGTTTGGGCCGTATCATCTGTTGGGTCCTATCTAGGCTGCAGCACACCTTTAGCTCGGCTCTGAGGCCTCACTGTCTTTTCTACAGGATCCCTGTCATAAGCCACAGGTTCTAATCTCAGCTTCTTTCCCTGCTCCCCTGGGAATTTCTAGGTCCTGCCCAGGCCCCATGGGAGCTTAGAAAGAAAGAGCCTGGAGGGGCGCTGTCTCTTTTCTTTGTCTGAATGAACACACGAACACTGCTCCCCAACAACTGGGGTTGCCCTATTCACACTGTGGAGGGATCTCTCCCTGCATCCCCTAATGTGAAAATGAGTATAGGCCCTTAATACCAGCTCTATGGATTCCCTCCTCCATCCATGTTTCCCTTGAAAAAAAAAAATCTACATTTTCTCCTTGAATCATCGTAACTTTCCTTACATCATAATTTCCTCTTACCCCAGGATCATTCATACACATACACACACACACACACACACACACACACAGAGAGAGAGAGAGAGACACACACATACACACACACATTCTTCACTAGGGCTAAAATAGTTCACCAGGAGGAAAATCAGATCACCAAGAAAAGAAAAGAATCCAGTTATTTCTAAAATTACCTCTATTCGGGTAGAACTATTACTTTGGCACTGCTACTTACATGGTAGATGGTGTTCTACACATTGAAGGAGCATAAGGAAGACTAACTCATTCATTTTCATTATCTGATTTAGTTTATTGTTTACTTTTGTCTCTTAAAAGCATTCAAAATCCCTCCTATGAACACCCCTATGTGTGCTGATGCAAGGCCATTCGAGCAAATACTCTTAAACATTATCTCAACCTCTAATGTGTGTTGGCATAGAGAATCTAATATAAGTTAATTTAAGTTTTCTCTTTCTTTGTGTTCCAAAAGAGTTTATTACATGTACTGAACGTAACATTGGATTTTTACTAATGTGGAACTACATTTTACTTCCAAGTGGTCTTCATTCACCACAGGATCACATTAGTCACCGGTACTTACTAAGGATCAAGACACCTTACTTGGACATACTAAAAATGTGTGTGTGTGTTTCATGTCAATTTTATGAGTTAGGCCATGTCTTGTAAGGTATCTGGAAAGACTTACATTTAGATGATAAAATGTATTGCTCATGTCCATGTTACAGTACGACACCATGCATTATTTCAGCTTAGAAGGAAATTGGTGGTAACAGAACTGCAGACTTCCAGAGGCTTCTAGGTACCTGGTCTTGTGGTCAGATCTAGGTCTGCAGGTATTCCTCACACTGGGCACCTCCACGCACCAGCAACAGTCAGCAGTGATGACGTAGGCTAAGCAGAGCAAAGCGCGCTGTGCTATTTATGCTCGAGGGTAGAAGCCACTGTGCTTGCAGCAGCATCACTTCACATTCCACCAGTCAGAGGAAGTCATGGGGAGAAGTCTGGCTGTCCTGGCAGCATGATTCAGAGTATTTCTGTCAAATACAGTGTCCTTTTGTAAATGTGCTCCGTATGGCCCCGGGGCCAGCAGCCTTGAATCTGGCCCTGCCCAGATGACTTGATTACTTCTTGTCTCCTGTTTAGTTTCTCTGGCTCTAGTCCAATTCCCTCTCCATGCACACTCCAAACAACTTTCAGAGTGATTTCTCTCAACTAAAAATCTCAGCATGTTAGAACCAGATCCTAGAGCTTTCAAGGCAGCGTTAAAAGCTCTCATCTTAGTTTGCAAGGCTGTTCATTGTCTCTCTTCGCTTGCAGCTACCCTGATTTTGGTCTTCTTGCTGAAGCTATTTGTCTCCAGCCTTGCTACTCAAGGCCCATAGCATAGAACCATCGCCTGATTCACCCAGATCTACATATTAACAAATTCCTTCAGTAATTCTGAGGCACGTTAGAGTTTAAAAAGCACTTGTCTGTATGATGTTAAATGCTCAGTGGGCAATAAAGTGACTTTCAAAAAGACTTAAAATTTAGAACGAAATTGTTATACATCTTAGTTTTTAATCATTTTTAGTTGGATTTTGGTTAGAGAGAAGATCAAAATAGTTTTTGTGAGAGAAATTGCCACCGGCAAGTAGCCAGCTCAATGTATATTGGCTGCATTCCTTTCTGGTAAAACAAATATTTTGGTTACTGGAAAAAAATGGGAAACAAGCAAGTTTTTACTTTTTTGTCCTCCTTGTGGATAAATGGGCATTAGAGTCCCGTAGAAAAAGCAGCAGTGAATTCACCTCATCCCTTTTGGGGGCCAGTACTATCATGACCCCTCTGAGGGCCGTGAGCCACCGAGATGGTGTGAACTAACACTCATGAGACCACAATGGCCCGTTCCAACCCACACTGGCATGTTGGTCATCCCCCAGGGCCTGCACATTGTCACACTCTCACCTCCCCCTGGGGGTGGTGTTCTCAGAGGCTGCTTTCTCCTGAAGGCCTCTCTTCCTGTCCACTGAACTCTGACTTGTAACCAGAGTTTAACCAAATGGCTGCGTTTTCCCAGACGTGGAACCTTGAGTAAGTGAGCAGAGGGCAAAGGCAGACAATTTGAGGTCATTCATCACAAGAGCAGAATGGGTCGTGGCGATGGCACCGCAGCCGGGTGCTCCCCCTGCTTGCCACTCCTCTGTCCATCCCCAAGCCTGGCTGTCCGGCCTCTGGGCAGTTTTCTTCAATAAACTCTCTCTGGTTTTAAGTTCACCAAAAACCGTTTTGCGGTTTGCAACCAAAACATTGATGATAAACTCACCATAAAGAAAGTGGCCATCAGGACTAGAAACTTAATGTTAGGACTGAGTCTACATGGCCACAAGTTAGAGGTTATTTCTAGCCTCGTGTGTGGCTAAGCCTGGAACTGCCTGCAACCCTGACAGGAAGGGACCGCTTTTCTGTGACAAAGTGTGAGATCTTGGTAGCCTTGCTGGGGGGTAACCATGCTGGTGGTAACCATGCTGGGGAGGTAACCATGTGGGGTGGTGACCATGCTAGGTGGTAACCATGCTGGGGTGGTGACCATGCTGGGTGGTAACCATGTGGGGAGGTAACCATGCTGGTGGTAAAACCATGCTGGGGAGGTAACCACGTGGGATGGTAACCATGCTGAGGAGGTAACCATGTGGGGTGGTAACCATGCTGGGGAGGTAACCACGTGGGATGGTAACCATGCTGAGGAGGTAACCATGTGGGGTGGTAACCATGCTGGGGAGGTAACCACGTGGGATGGTAACCATGCTGAGGAGGTAACCATGTGGGGTGGTAACCATGCTGGGGAGGTAACCACGTGGGATGGTAACCATGCTGAGGAGGTAACCATGTGGGGTGGTAACCATGCTGGGGAGGTAACCACGTGGGATGGTAACCATGCTGAGGAGGTAACCATGTGAGGTGGTGACCATGTGGGGTGGTAACCATGATGGGGAGGTAACCATGTGGGGAGGTAACCATGCTGGGTGGTAACCATGTGGGGTGGTAACCATGCTGGGGAGGTAACCACGTGGGATGGTAACCATGCTGAGGAGGTAACCATGTGGGGTGGTAACCATGCTGGGGAGGTAACCACGTGGGATGGTAACCATGCTGAGGAGGTAACCATGTGGGGTGGTAACCATGCTGGGGAGGTAACCACGTGGGATGGTAACCATGCTGAGGAGGTAACCATGTGGGATGGTAACCATGCTGGGGAGGTAACCATGTGGGGAGGTGACCATGTGGGGTGGTGACCATGTGGGGTGGTAACCATGATGGGGAGGTAACCATGTGGGGAGGTAACCATGCTGGGTGGTAACCATGCTGAGGAGGAAGCCATGTGGGGTGGTAACTATGCTGGGGAGGTAACCATGTGGGATGGTAACCATGCTGGGGAGGTAACCATGCTGGGTGGTAACCATGCTGAGGAGGAAGCCATGTGGGGTGGTAACTATGCTGGGGAGGTAACCATGTGGGATGGTAACCATGCTGGGGAGGTAACCATGCTGGGTGGTAACCATGCTGAGGAGGAAGCCATGTGGGGTGGTAACTATGCTGGGGAGGTAACCATGTGGGATGGTAACCATGCTGGGGAGGTAACCATGCTGGGTGGTAACCATGCTGAGGAGGAAGCCATGTGGGGTGGTAACTATGCTGGGGAGGTAACCATGTGGGATGGTAACCATGCTGGGGAGGTAACCATGCTGGGTGGTAACCATGCTGAGGAGGAAGCCATGTGGGGTGGTAACTATGCTGGGGAGGTAACCATGTGGGATGGTAACCATGCTGGGGAGGTAACCATGCTGGGTGGTAACCATGCTGAGGAGGAAGCCATGTGGGGTGGTAACTATGCTGGGGAGGTAACCATGTGGGATGGTAACCATGCTGGGGAGGTAACCATGCTGGGTGGTAACCATGTGGGGGGGTAACCATGCTGGTGGTAACCATTTTGGGTGGTAACCATGTGGTGTGGTAACCATGCTGGTGGTAAACATGCTGGGTGGTAACCATGCTGAGTGGTAACCTTGCTGGGGTAGCTTGACTGAGCATTTTTAGAAATTTGTTGCAACTGTCTGATGCATCAGGAAGCATAATTTAAAAACCAACAGTATAATAAAAAAGATCTTTTATCTCTGGTCATGGCAGAGCAGGTTTCAAAATCAATTTTCTTTTCGACATATCCAGTCGGTTCACAGTCCTTTGTAAAAGTTCTACACGCATACGCATTTTTAGCAATGCCTTTGTCGCATTTATCACAAGATTGATTCAGTTCCCCATTGAAGAAAATAAATAAATCCCTTCCAAGTGCCTGCAACGATATGTAAAGCGCTCTGCTAACGGTGGGCCTGGTTAATGGTCCATCTATTGATGCAGCAAATCTCAGATAATCTATAAAGCCCATAATTCGTGAGACATGTGTCACGAAACAGCTTCAGTAAACCATCATATTTCCAAAAGGAGTTTGATAAGCATATTTCCCCAAATCTTTCTTTGTCAAAGAAATCTCCCAGAGCCTGCATTCATGCCTGCAGCAAGGAGCTTCAACATCCGGGGCTCTTGTCCCCAGCCGATTGCAATACTGTGCGAGGCTGTCCTTCTCGGCCTCAGAAAATATAGCAAGACCCTCAGCTGGACAGAGCACTGGCAGCAGGCAGACACGTGTCACCCACAGCAGCAGCCTGTGACACGTAACAAAGCAGCCCAGCAGAGCCCATTCTTGTCCCTGGTGCTAGAGGTATTTTGCTTGGGAATGATCTGTCCATCAAAGTAAATCAGGGGGTGTTGGGAAAACGCTTTGAGAGGATACTAACGTTCCTCTACTATGAGCAAGACTGCGTTATTCCCAAACTTGAAAAAAGGAATTCACACCTGTCTGAATGATTTCACTTCTAATTCCTTCAAAACAAAAACTAACAAACAAAAAAAACCCTTGATTCAGGCTGTTTTTATTATGATTGTCTTAATGTTTTAATTTTTTCGTTTTGTTTTTGTGACAGTTTTGACATTTGTGTTGTTGCATTTAAAACAAATCTGTCCAATAATTTGTTTTAGCTCATGGTACTTCTTGTTTGAAACATAGATAATAACCTAGAAATAAAATAAAAAACACAAATTAGAGAGTGAATTCTATAAGACTAAAGGCCAAGTGTATATAAGCTCAACCAGTACAATTCTTATTTATAAAAATTATTAAAACTCATGTTGTAAGTAAGTCTAGATAACTTTAAAGTAGCTATGTTTATGGCAGCATTATTTACATTAGCCAAGATTGGGAAGCAGCCCAAGTGCCCATCAGTAGATGGGTGGATAAAAAAGCTGTGGTACATTTACACAGCGGATACTATTCAGCCCTAAAAGAGAAGGAAACCTTACCTTCTGTGACAGCATGGATGGACCTGGAGAGCATTGTGCTAAGTAAAATAAGCCAGTCAGAGAAAGATAAATATCATATGATTTCACTTTTATGTGAAATCTAGTGAACAAAATAAGCAAGTAAACAAAATAGAAACAGACTCATAGATACAGAGAACAGACTGACAGTTTTCAGAGGGGATTGGGTAGGGGGCTGGGTAAGAAAGGTGAAAGATTAAGGAAAAAAAAACACCTCATAGACCCAGATAACAGTATGGTGATTTCCAGGGCGAAAAGGGGGTAGGGACAGGTAGAAGAGGGTAAAGATAAATAAAAGGTGTTGGAAGGAGACTTCACTTGGGCTGGTGAGCACCATACAACAAACAGGTGATGTAGTGTAGACTTGTACACTTGAAACCTACATGATTTTATTAACCAATGTCACCCCAATACATTCAATGAAAACTTACCAAAAATTGAAATTAAAATCTGAAGAGAAAAACAATAGATCGTGGAACCACGATGTGGAAGGAGGTTCCAGAGCTCAGTCATTTCATGTCCCTTCCTCCCAACAAAAAAACGTAGGAGCTTCCACTATCCGTACGAACGCCTGGCCTTGGCCCACTCGCCCCTCAGAAGCACCTTGCTTGTCTTTTGCCATAAAGACATACACAGACTACAAGTAGAACTTTGTGGCTACTCGTGTAAAGAACTGACCTTGACACTCATTTTGGCCACATTTTAGGTGTTTAAGACACGGATAGGCACCTGGGAAGAGGCGGTCTTTCATTAGTTAAAGGAAAAGAAAAGGCTCTGTCATGGCCAAGGTTCTGGTCCCGATCAAGGACGTGCCTGCCCACAGTACACCTGAACTGAACTACTTAATACTATTTCAAGTATTACCCCAAGCAGTCAGAGACTCTGTTTGCTCAATCCAGTTTATTTAGGGATAATATTTAGTGTGTCTAAGAATGAAATGAGTATATGCTTCTTGATAAAGATTGTGGCAACATATAAAAGTAAGTGAAATCACGTTATCTTATCATTCAGTGAGCATTTTCAAAGGGTTTAACAAAGAAATGTGGGGGGAAAAACAAGTGGAAAACAGAATAGTTTCTTTTTAATCTTAATATGTTTTGCATTTCATTTTTGCCCCGTTGTTCTCCTTATTTATATTAGACACACTATGACTCTCTTCAGTGAAGGCAACATCACAGCTTGAGGGATAATATTTGAGTGGAAATAAAAATGTTAGTTTATAATATTTATAATATACAAGAATAGTATAGATGGAAACGATCTAGATTTGGAATGTACTGATTTTTTGTGATGTCTTCAAAATTTCTATCATTCTTGGCTTCTTTATCTAAGCTAGAATATAACTTAAATGTATTCCTTTGAATATGATTATATACTGAATGCTGACAAAGGAGATATCTGAGTATGTCTCACACGACCTCACCACTGTGCTGATGCTCTTTGACTCCATCATCTCTCTCCTGGGATTGCAGGGTCTGCCTAACTCAGTGATGGCGAACCTATGACATGCGTGTCAGAGGTGACACGCGAACTCATTTTTTTGGTTGATTTTTCTTTGTTAAATGGCATTATATAGAAAATAAATCTCAAAAATATAAGTCTTTGTTTTACTGTGATTGCAAATATCAAAAAATTTCTATATGTGACACCGCACTAGAGTTAAGTTAGGGTTTTTTCAAAATGCTGACACACCGAGCTCAAAAGGTTCGCCATCAGTGGCCTAACTGCTCACCTGCTTTCTGACCCACATAGCAGTCAGAATAACATTTTTAAATGATAACTTCCCTGCTTGGGACTGTCCTCAGGGACTTGCTGTTAAACACTGCAGATTGATCAAAAGCATTTATCTATTGTTTTCGTAGCCCACTGTAAATACAGTAAAGAAATATCTTTAATTCTAGTGACACAAAAAGACAAAAAAAAAGTGAGGAGACAAAGAATGTGAGATAATTTTGGATGATAAATAGCAGATGATTAAATGATAAAAAAAATAAAGTAGCTAGAAGAAATACCAATTTTTACTTGAACTTTTGTTAATATCTTTACTCCATAAATTTCTGTTATTAAAATCAACACTAAGGGAATGAAAGTCAATTCTTCACGTATTTTTCTGCTACATATTTGGCTTTGGAATCTCAAAAATTAGATGAAATCACATTCATTTTGGATGATCTTCCTTTCAATTTATGACCATATATTAACAGCTCTAAAAATTACTTTTATATAAATTCTAAAAATTCATTTTCCAAATAAGCTAGGGTGTAAACAAAATGTCTCGGAAAATCTTTACACATTGGGAAATCGATTCAATGCTTTAGATGCACTTGGCACATGGTATTCTCTCAGCAAAGCTTGAATAAGTAGATTTTAATAGACAGTCAATAGATAAATATTTGTATTTTATTAGTATTTATTATCTGCAAAGGTAGGGGCATAGGCTTTATTTTTAAATGTATATCTTACATGGATTTTTTTTTTATTTTTTGAAATAATTTATTTGTTCTTTAAATTAATTTGAAGCCATATATGCAAATTTCCATACTGGCTTTCAGTACATTTATATCATGGTTTCCCCATTGCTTAGTAATTTTGATTTAACTCATTTAGTTTAAGCACATCTTCTGCTAATATCTTTTAGTAATTCCTTTAAACTAAATAACAATAGCAGACATTCAAGAACCAAGAAAATATATAAGATGAGCATTTCTTCAACAACAAAAAATTCAAGAGGAAGGGGATTAATTTGGCTCTATATTAATATAAACATTTTTTTAGCCATGTAGAGTTTACATTTATGGAAGAATCTGAGACAAGGCTGCCACTTTGATTCCCAGTCAGCGCACATGCCCGGATTTGGAACTTGATCCCCAGCAGGGGACAATTTGAGGCTCTCACATCAATGTTTTTTCTCTCCCCTCTTCCTTCCTCTCTCTCTAGAAACCAATTAAAATCTATATTTTTAAAAATGCAAGTTCCATGAATTCGCTGTGGTTCCTTTCGCTGCACATCAGATTGCTTTCAGAGGCCTCCTCTCCGCCGCAGGCTGGAGGCCTGGTGGGCGCACCGGTCCTAATGATCTCCCAGCCCTCTGCAATCTCCATGGAGTGTGAAACTGCAGGACTAAAAGGGGATCTGGCAGCTTCTAGTATTCGATCTTCTGATCACGATCATTATTCCTGAAGTCAGAAACAGTCTTTTTCTTCATTCCAAAAAAAAGGCATGTAAAAGAAAAAAACAAGAACGCACCTCCTCCACAAATTGTCCTGTCCTATCCCTTTCTATCCACTGATTTTATTTCAGATGTAAAGTACTTTGTTCTAACACTTCTGTCAAAACCTGTATCAGTAGGACCTCAGGTTTTAGAATCCATGATCAAACAGGTAGTGAAGGTGGACTACAGGAAGTCACACCTACAGCTCTATGGCCTTGACCCCAGCTTCTTTGCAGGAGAAAAGGTTTTCCTGGCTCTGGTGTATAGCAGCACAGTGTCTGTAGTGTACGTAAACAGCAGTCACAGGTAGTGAGATGACCAAGGAAC